ATTAAAGGTTCAATTCATGACACGTTACCCAAGGATCAGGCTCTTTCAAAAAAAGAAGGGGTGGCATCCTGTGAATTGAACCTCATGTCTGATTGGTTGTTAAACTGACCATCCGCTATACAATCTGATTGTACAATCTCCTTTATATGTAGTACAAGGGCCTGCCTGATTGGATACAATTTGAATGGATTGTTTAGGGGATTTTATTATCCGATCAATGTGTAATCTGACCAAAATGGTTGAATCAACAAATAATCAAATAGCCATAACTTTCCTTCTAAACAACTTATGGTGGACATACACGCTTCAATTTTATTATACGATCAATGTGTGATTCAACAAAAATGATCAAATGGGCAAACAAACAGCCAGAACTTCCCTTCCAATTGATTTAGACTCGATTTAGATTGGATTTGAAAAAACTGAGTTGATCGGCCAGGGCAGAAAATTATCAAGTGATTTTTCATGAATATGATTGTATTCTGATTGATCAATCGAATTACATGGTGGAAACGTAAAGGACAATGAATAATAAGTTACAATCATAAATTATGATCATATCTTAACTATCAACTATTGAAATGTACTACCCCATGTGTATCATATCAGTCAAATGGGTTGTTAACTATAGATCAGTTATTCCGATAGAAAAAGATCAACTGAAAAAGAAATTGATAACTTATTAAATGTGAATGGCTGCTTTCAGGCTCAATTTAGATTTGATCAATTGGTGGAAAATTATCAATCATTTTGCGTTTGCATCCATCAGATGCTTTCTTCATGAATCTAATCATATTTCAATTGTCCAGATTACAAGCTCACATGCAAACAGAGATGTGATCGATAGCTTACAATCGTATCTTCCAATTATCAATCAAAATCCACTTCCCAGTTTGAGTCATATTGGTCAAAACGGTTGTCAATTACAGGATGATTATCACTGTCAGGAGAGATTGATCGGCATAGAAACTAATAATTTATCAGAGCATGACAATATATAGGAGATTGTACAATCAGATTGTATAGCATCTGGCCAGCTATGGCAACGGTCACAGGAACGCAGGGGCCTTGATCATTGGCCTCTTTATCCACTTCCTATGCACATGAACACTGGATTTCCATTGCTTTGAGTCAAATCCTGACTGCCTTGTACTGCCTATGGCTTTATTCTGGTGCTATAGGACAGGTGTTTCAGATCAGGGGGCAGAAACCTTCATTGTTTCAGAAATAAAACTCCTATTCTAGGCATCGATCGGTCCTGTACAGTGCCATCTGCTCAGTAATTGAGATACCTGTCAATGTGGAATGCAGTACATGTTTGGTCTGATGACTGCACTGTCACCTGAATGAAACAAGTGACAAAGGGAGATCCCAAAAGTCAGATCCTCAGCAAACTGTATAAAAACACAATTATTACACCAGGACAAATAGTATAAATAATAATTGTACCTAAAAGTCAATATTGATAGTAGCAGTGATAGTGATCCCCCTCCTCCCCCCAATACACTTCACACACGTGGGTGAGTGAAGTGACATGATCTGGATGAAGAATAGACTTCCTGAGAAGTGTCACCAGTAACAGGTAGATGGGCTCCTGTCCCATGACAGCCCATCCATGGGGCAGCCAGGAGACAACAGGCAGACCCAGACAACACAAACATGTCAATCAATAACTTCCCCCAGCCAGGGAATCATCAGATCACATGGCACACAATGCACACTTCCACCCAGTGCCATCCCATCCCTGGGCATCAGCACACACATGGCTTACCTTTCACATTGCCTCTCCCAGCCAGCCAGGTCCAGGCGGTGACAGAGAGCAGCGGTGGGGACAGTGCAGCAGTGACAGCAGCAGAGGCAGCATCAGAGCACCGTGGTCTGCAGGAGCTCTCCCCTCCCTCCCTCCTTCCCCTGTGCTCTCAGTGCTCAGCTCCCACTCCCTCCCTCCTTCCCTGGATGGGAGCTCAGCTACTGCTAACCCTTCTCATCTCCTGCACATCCAAAGGGACAGCTCACATCTTGGCATTTCAACTTTGGAGTAGGCTATGTCCTTAGGGTTGCCATATACATTACAATCTGACCATACAATCAACTTTACATTTACCAAACTATAGAATATGAGCACCTAGCTAATCTAACCAAGTCATTTGTATGTACCACTGTTTTTTTAAATTTTTTGCTAAACAAACTAAAAAAGACAGAAATTGAAAAAAAAAATTTTTTCTTAATTTCTGATATAAAAATTTGCAAATACAGTTGCAAGAAAAAGTATGTGAACCCCTTGGGATTACGTGGAGTTTTGCATGAATTGGGCATAAAATGTGCTCTGAACGTCATCTAAGTCACAACAATAGAAGAACACAGTCTGCTGAACATAATACTACAGAAACATTAGATGTTGCCATGGTTTAATTGCACATAACATGTAAACATTCACAGTGCAGGGAGGAAAAAGTATGTGAGGCCCTAGCTTAATGACTTCTCCCAGAGCTAATTGGAGCCAGGAGTGAGCCAACCTTGACTCCAATCAGTGTGATGATATTGGATGTGTTGCTGACAGCTGTCCTGTCCTTAAAAAACACACACCTGTTTTGGGTTTACTGGTTTCAAGAAGCACTGTCTGATGCAGGGGCGGACTGACCATTTGGGAACTCGGGCACTGCCCGAGGGCCCGGGGTCAGTAGGGGGACACATGAGATGCCTCTGGTATCTTTCATAGGCTTTTTTGGGTGTGGTCTGAGTGTGGGCGAGTACACAGGGGCCCCATGATCCCCTATTGCCCGGGGGCCCCATGAGTTGTCAGTCCGCCCCTTGTCTGATGTGAACCATGCCTCGCAGAAAAGAGCTCTCAGAAGACCTACGATCAAGAATTGTTGACTTGCATGAAGCTGGAAAGGGTTACAAAAGTATCTCCAAAAGCATTGATGTTCATGTGTCCACGGTAAGACAGACTGTCTACAAATGGAGAAAGTTTAGCACTGTTGCTACTCTCTCTAGGCATGGTCGTCCTGTAAAAATGACTGCAAGAGCACAGCGCAGAATGCTGCATGAGGTAAAGAAGAATCCCAGAGTGTCAGCTAAAGACCTACAGAAATCTCTGGCACATGCTAACATTTTTGTTGACACATCTACAATAAGGAAAACATTAAACAAGAATGGAGTACATAGGAGGACACCACGGAGGAAGCCATTGCTGTCCAAAAAGAATATTGCAGCACGTTTGAAGTTTGCAAAAGAGCACCTGGATGTTCCACAGCACTACTGGCAAAATATACTGTGGACAGATGAAACCAAGATTGAGTTGTATGGGAAGAACACACACAACACTATGTGTTGAGAAAAAAAGGCACAGCACACCAACATCAAAACCTCATCCCCACTGTAAAACATGGCAGAGGGAGCATCATGGTTTGGGGCTGCTTTGCTGCCTCAGGGCCTGGATGGATTGTTGTCATTGATGGGAAAATGAATTCAAGAGTTTATCAAGACATTTTGCAGGAAAACGTACGACCATCTGTCCGCCAACTGAAGCTCCGCAGAGGATGGGTGATGCAACAGGACAATGACCCAAAGCATACAAGTAATTCAACAAAACAATGGCTGCAACAGCACAGAATACGCCTTCTGGAGTGGCCCAGTCAGAGTCCTGACCTCAACCCCATTGAAATGCTGTGGCATGACCTTAAGAGAGCGATTCACACCAGACATCCCAAGAATATTGCTACACTGAAACAGTTTTGTGAAGAGGAGTGGTCCAAAATTACTCCAGATCGTTGTGCAGGTCTGATCTGCAACTACAGGAAACGTTTGGTTGAGGTTATTGCTGCCAAAGGAGGGTCAACCAGTTATTAAGTCCAAAGGTTCACATACTTTTTCCTCCCTGCATTGTGAATGTTTACATGTTATGTGCAATTAAACCATGGCAACATCTAATGTTTGTGTAGTATTATGTTCAGCAGACTGTGTTCTTCTGTTGTTGTGACTTAGATGACGATCAGAGCACATTTTATGCCCAATTCATGCAAAACTCCACGTAATCCCAAGGGGTTCACATACTTTTTCTTGCAACTGTAAGTACATTTTCTTCTTCACTGATGTGCACGGATGAGGGTGCACTAATGTGCATGGATGTGCACTAATAATAGGCTGCACTGATGTGTATTTAGGTTTTGTGCTGCCCTAGGCAACACAAAAATCAGATGCCCCCTGGCGGAGAGAGCCTGACACTGACCAACAGCAGATCTTCCCCCGTGGAAAGAGCCTGACAGTGACCAACAACACCCCTGCCCCCCCCACCCGAGACAGCCTTTCACTAACAACCACCCACCCCCAGCAACAGAACGAAATACACTCCCCTTCACAGCTACAGACATCCCAAGGAATGAGAGTCGGACTCTGCATACACCAATAAGCAGCCTGCAGCATCTTTTGGATCCCACCTGGTTCCATGCTGCATATGTCCCTTCTTTCTGAGGGGTTGCTGCCCCCTAAAAAATGCCGCCCCAGGCAAATGCCTTGTTTGCCTTATGGTAAATACTCCTCTGTGTGCACTGATGTACTGATGGGCACTGAAAAAACACAATATAGATGGCGCTGAGAAGTGACAATAAACACCTTGACATATGAATACAACATCAATAAAAAGTCCAGAAAGTTTGTAGGATGAGCATTATATTGTGGCAGCTCCCCATAAAGTGAAGCAAAGCCCTGTGGAAATGAAAAAGGGAACAGAAGGGGCGCCAGCCTAAGTGCAGTATTACAGTGTTACTAAACCCACAGCAGCAAAATCAGTCTGTATATGCAGTAAGGCATGCTTGTTATACTCACTAAGGGGTTAATCCTCTGCATTGTGTAAAAAGGCCATTTGATCCTTTCTTCTCTGCCCCTCCTCTTGTTCAAATGTCCACACTGTTAAGACATACTGAACCCGTAGCCCTTCTGTACATGCTCAGCTTAGTGTGTATTGCTAGAGAGGTTTCTTTTTTCTTGGGAGAGTGCATGTGATCAGCATAGGGCCAATCAGCACTGTCCAGACAGAGGTCATGGGTTTTACATCCCCCTAGAGCAGAAAGAAAACTCCTCCTATAACCTTTAACCAGTGTCCTGCTGGACACTGATAGATGTCACAAGACTGTTATATACTGCTGATGATGAGAAAAGGTATTTAGTTTTTATATTTACTAAAATAATTGCATTTGCATGTTGTGTGTACTGTGGGAGACCAGATATAGTGAATGCAGGGTCCTGGGGTTAGTAACACTTTAAAAGCTAATTTATAATATCAAAGAGAGCCAAATTACTACTCACAACTGTGGTAAGTATATAGGCATTTTCAGGTAAGCTCTGTCCCGGGAGGATGTCATTGAGGAGCCAGTGTGGATCCCCTGAAGATCAGACACAAGGGATTGTATGTAATCGTGGGCCATCAGCCGAGGACACCGTAACCACCGTGGAACGCATGGAAGACCGGACCAGAAGCAACATCCAATGGGAGCATGGGGATGAGTCAGGTGACACATTTTAAAGCTTTCACTTTTTCTTCAGACCTGTTGGGTACTGATAGGCTCCATTGATGGGCACTGATGAGGCTGAACTGCTGGGCACTGATGAGGCTGTACTGATGGACACTGATGAGGCTGCACTAAAGGGCACTGATGAGGCTTCACTGATGACGAAGCACTGATGGGCATGGATGGCCACCGATGAGGTGGCACTGGTGGCACTGATGGGCACTCATAAACTGCACTGATGGGCACTGACGAAGAAGCACTCATGAGGCTGCACTGATAAGGTGGCACTGATAGAGGGATCACTGTCCTGTGTGCCCACGAGGTGGGGGGGGTGCACACGAGCAGCATGACCAGGAGGACGTCATATGACATTCAGCCGAAGGGACAAAAGGCCCATCTGGCCGTCAACTGGCAATTGGCCGGTTAAAGTAATTGTAAAATTATTTTTTTAAATTAACAAACATCGTACTTATCTGCTCTGTGCAATGGTTTTGCCCAGAGCGGACCCGATCCTTCTCTTCTGGGACCCCCCGCCAGCGCACGTGAAGACTCAACTTGGAGCCGCACAGTGTGTCTATTGACACACAGCGTGGCTTGGCCCTGCCCCCTGTTCTCTCTCCCACACAGACTGTGACTGACAGCAGCAGGAGCCAATGGCTCCCACTGCTGCCTCCATGTCCAGTCGGGAGAAAGAGTGGAGGCACAGTTCTCAGGCACAGAACTGATTAGAGATTGGGCTCAAGTAAATATTTAGGGAGGCTGAAGGGGAGCTGACCATGGACGGTTTTTTTACCCTAATGCAGAGATTGCATTAGATGCTGAAGATTTTTTACCGTCATGCATTCTAAAGTTTTCTAACATTCCCATTTGACAGATGCCAATCCTTAGATCAAATTCTGTTGGGCAGGAATGGCCATAGAAGTATCAAAATTCGAACGGTCCCTGCTGATCCATTTATTGGCCAGCTTTAGACTCAATTTTGATCAGATTTGATTAAACTTAGTCATTTGGCCTGGGCAGAATATTATTGATCATTTTGCAATCAATTGGCAATACTGAAACACTTTGTTCATAAACACAATTGTATTTCATTCAATCAGATTATGAGATTATAAAAAGATAAAAAATCAGCGAGCCCTCAACATAAATAAGCAGTCATGCACAATAAAGGAAACCATAAACCTTCAAAATGACATATAAAGTAAAATGAGTGCAGTGCTAAAATATGAATAGTCCTGGTAAATAAATGACATATAATTCGTACACTTGTACGTCTTCATTAGGGGTATGCCATCACAGTAGGGGCACACCCCTACTGGAGACGTACAAGCAGGGGTGGACTGACCATTTGGATACTCGGGCACTGCCCGAGAGCCCGGGGTCAGTAGGGGGCCCCATGAGATGCCCCTGGTACCTTTTTCATAGGCTTTTTTGGGTTTGGGCAAGGACACAGGGGCCCCATGATCCCCTATTGCCCGGGGGCTCCATGAGTTGTCAGTCCGCCCCTGCGTACAAGTGTATGAAACGCTTCTTGGAGGAGCCTGCGAGCCTTGACGTCACGCCGCCGGATCACGGAGGGCCGGCGGCCTCCATTTTATACCAGCTGGTTAGTGCTCATAGCAGCTGTATAGCTGTAACATATATCGCTGCTGTTGTTGTGACATAGCATTTTGACACATTCTTGGCACTTACTTCTTCACATGTATGGAGATATCCTATTATGCGTTTGCTTATTTTGCTATCCTTCATTAAACATTTTTGTGAAAATACTTCACTGTGGGTATTTCAGTCATTGCTCTTCACTGAGCACTTAAGCCCCCAGAGCTCCCCCTGGTGACTATCCCATTACATTGAAGAGGCTGCACACATGTCCTTAAAGTGGACCTCCGGTTGAGTATTTCATCCTGATGATATCCATCCATCCCGTGCTGATTCCTATCCTATCCTGAGAGGGACCCATTGGCAGACCTCCATTTATCTATACATTGCGCAATACCTTTGCGCGTCAGGTGAGTGCGCATTTTATCCATACTCTGCCTCTCACCATTTTTGAGGAAGTGATGAATTGGGGATATTTGAAGTCACTCTGAGCTCTTTATATATTTATTTATTACGGACTTTTATCATATGCATGAATTATAGATTATGAGATTACATGGTGGAAACAGAGATGTGATCAATAATTTACAATCATAAATTATGATTGTATCATAACTCCACTTCCCTGTGTATGGGTTGTCGACTATAGATCAATTATTCCTATCGAAAGAGACCGATCGGAAAAGATCATTTATCGAAGTGTTGTGTAGGCCACCATTAAGGAGTTTGTGCAATCAGATTATAAATTGTATGACCAGCTTTAAATGAACCCACATCAGCCAATTAGATATGATACCCTAGCAAAATGTAATCCCCGTACACACGATGAAAATATCGGGTGAATGATAGTCTGTATTTGTTTGCATGAAATAAAAGGTTACTAAAGTTACGAAAATTCTTGTACGACAAAATAAAAATTTGGAAGTGATGTAATGTATTTGTATTGTATTTTCAGATGAAAACTGTACTGATTAAATGAAAATCGTACGATCTGGTATCGTACGAGAAAAATGTTCATGATTGTCCCTTTGAATAATTTCGGACAAAAGCTGTGTATTAACAATCAGATTATCATACATACACTTCGAAAGCGAAATTTTTTATACAATTTTCTGATCCTGTGTACTAGGTTTAAAACTCTGAGAACAGATCATTTATTTATTTATTTTTTTAAAGTGACAGTTATTTTCAGTGGAGTCCAGTAAAATCTGAAAATGACAGTCACATGGCTTTCTCTCATCCAGGTCATCATCTATTTGAATGAATGCTGTCAGGTAGGCTTAAGAAATAATAAAATCTTAGTAATATTTTAAGATTTTGGGATGCCAAGGACAATAAATGCTATAAATCTTGGAATTAAATCTAGTTGCTAATAGCTGGTTAAGGGTCTTGTACTATAACAGAAGGTGGAATTGTATCACTCTAGGTTCACACCTAAGCACTTTCCGCAACGTTTTTGCAGTAACGCTCTACAGTCCATGTAGCATGATTTTCTAAGGGACAGGTTCACATCTCCGTGTTTTTACCCAGTGGGTTTTTTGGAAAGGGTCAGGGACTTTGTTAAACACAAAAAAGTTGCCTTTTTGCTTCTGTAGACGTCAATGGAAACGCTGCAGAAAAGCATATAGTGCATTTGTACTGCGTTTTTGCTGCATTGTTGTTGTGTTTTTGATGCATTTTGCTTTTTAAATCTGCCTAGCAACAAAAAAAATAAAGTAAAAAAAATGCAAAACGCATTAAAAACGCAGCAAAAGCATATAAAAAAAACCATGTGCAAAAATGCAAAACACACCACAAAATGCTGCTGAAACGTATCAAATGCAAACTGCATAGGTGTGAACCTAGCCTTAGGGCCAGTCACACCAGAATCCGTCCATATACACATCACTGCAGGGAAGATAAGTATTTGAGACTTCAGTTCCACTTTACCCCTTGTACAATGGGCCTGCTAGCCTGTTGTGCATCTCTCTCAATATTTTTGTGTGCCTGGGGGGGGGGGGGTTTGGGGATGCAAAATCAATCCCCACTGCCTGCAGCCTGTCAAAGTCTATGGCAGCCTGAATGCTGTACCGAGTGGTAATTGCGTTTAATGCCCTATATCAGGGGGTTCAAACTCCATTTCATCGTGGGCTGTATCGGCATTATGGTTGCCCTCAAAGGGCCGGTTGTATCTGTAAGACTAGATGTCCAGAGCACCCCACCCCCCCCCATTACATCAGATGTCAAGAATACCATACCCTCCCTAACATCACTGTGCACCCCCTTTGGGGGTAGAGCTGGAAAGCAGAAAGTGCAGGGTCTGGAGGAGGACCAGAGAAGGAGTGCAGTCAGTTACCATAGTCTGCTGAATGCTGAGATCAGGGGAGGCAGAGATGAGGGGGTGCGGGGGATGAGGAGGATTTGGCAGAGGATTTCTATTCTCCTCTCTGCTGCCAGCTGTTGAGACAAGGTGAGGGCAGAGACCAGGCGGTACCTGTAGGAGAGGAGCAAGGGACACATTAAATGGCCTGGAGGTCAGATTCGGCCAGCGGGCCTTGTGTTTGACACCTGTGCCCTATATGTTCAGGGAAAAATGTCAGTAATGCAGGTCCTCTGCATTCTGGGGATCCCTCCTTTAATGCATAGGGCACTGAATGTGATTACTTCTCAGTTCATTGCCATAGGCTTTGATAGGCTGCAGGCAGGGAGCTGGATGCTGCACCAGTCCATCCTGACTGCATTAAACACCAAGAGGGACACACAGCAGCTAGATATGTGTGCAAACATCAAAGGTTTTGTGAATTGAACATTTTATCTATTGGGGATTCCATTGGCAGCTTGTGACGCTGTATCCCTTCCATGAAGTCTCACTTCTTTTTCAGCAGCAACTAGTCTCCCTTTTCTACCACATT